TTTACTGTGTATGGGGGGCGGGGGGGGTTACATTAAGAGGCCCTTGGGATGGAAATCGATAGCTTGAGGAGAAGAAGCACAGAGGGTGATTATACAGTAACTATAGGGTGAGCCTGCCAGTTTGCTCCGGTTCTGTTAGCGAGCCGCTTAAAGGAAGGTGTCAAAAATACAATTTGGCAAGACGACGTTTACTTTCCGCTCACATCGATCACCCAAAAATGTTTTTTGTTGAACGACTTACTGACAAATAGTTTGCGCTTCACACTTCAGCCGCTGCGTGACGCGCTCGCGTTTCGGCTGGTTGGTCGCCGCCTGTTTGACGATCGCAATGATTAAATGAATTATGAAATAAGACAAGGCAATAGTGCTGTACTTCAGACACACACATTAATACTCGGATGTCCCGGAGGTTTTACCCTCCCCATCAGCGCTAATGCCACTTTACTACGCCCAACCATTCCATGCCAAACCGAGTCGGACTGGGCCAACCCAAACAGAGCCAAGTAGCTGGGCTTCGGTTAAAAGAAAGCCTTCCTGTCCTGAAAAGTTATCACCGTGGTTACAACCATGTATGGCACTTAGAAATAAAGTGTGTTCATCATTCTATAATTGAAAGGATGCTGCATTGTTGTGCTGCTATAGAATGTTTTATTTTGGGAAAGTATGGTTTCTACTCTCATGGAAAAAGGAGGGTGGAACATTTTATCCTCGATGTGCCAAGGAGGAGGGCAGCTATGGTTTTTGGAAATGCCTTCTGATGATCAGCATGCGTTAGGGCGGACACATTTCATACGTCTCATAATAAGGACTTCCTTCCTTCCATTTTATTAATAATAAGTCACAAAAATGAAAACAAAAAAGTAAAACGTGCCGAGGAGCTTAGATGAATTGAAGCCGTGAAACAGCTGTGTTGAGTGAGAGCAGACGGCATAATCCACACCTCAATTAGACAGAGACGGGATGGGAAGGGAAGGGCGTGTGTGTCCGTATGCTGTGGATCCTGGTCTATGCACATGGGTGGGAAAGAGTGTGCGTGTGTGTGTGTGTGTGTGTGAGAAAGCCTTGAGTAATCCTGCTTAGTCTACCGGCTGGGGGAGCAAGTTTAAGTAATGTGACAGTATGAGGCGCTGGCTGAGGGTTTAACACTCGAACCACTGTGAACAATAAAATACGCGCACTCACACGCTGAATCGCGCAAAGTGTGCAAGTGTGTGCGCACAACAGCACAGCCGGTGAGCACTGTGCTTGGAGGGGGGCGGGGGGGGATGGTCGTGGGGGTCCGAGAGAAAGATAACAAATTAACTAATTTGTTCCAGCTCTGCTCAAAACAGCAGGGACGCCGTCGCTAACGAGGCCTCAAAGGGTCCGCGCACATCACCACGTTTAATTAAGATTTCTCAAACTAACTACACATGACTGATTTCACTACGATGGAGGTTGTTTAAGAGGAGTGTATTATGTTGGGAGTGCGGTATCTTTTATACAATGGGTTGGTTTTATGTTGTTTTTGCGGCACCACAGAGAAGACTTCTCAAAGCACAATAACTTTTCCCTCTTTGGTTTTCCACCCAAGTGTGCCCGTAGCGTTGAGTGTTGAAAAGTACCAAAAGCTCAAATTAAAGCTCAACCTTCTCTTTTATCCGATGGCTCATGATTTAAATCATAATGTTGACATTTTCGTTGAAGTATCTGAAGTCACGACAAACCAAACCTCGCTAAACCTTAGTCCAAATGTAGTCGGACCATCACGCTGGTGAGGCCCGCTTTGAGCACTACGGACAGGAACACTACGATTAACAGTTGTGGATCACAGCAGAACCGTCTCTTACAGCAGATACTTCCGACGTGGCCGAATGCCTGTAAATCTTTCTGTGGCTGATCGCCAGCCCCGTTCCCAGAAACCCCGTCACAGGCGTCTGCTCGTCTTAAACACTCGTTATACAGACGGTTTGTTTAATGCACTTAGCTGATCTACAGAAGAATCCCCAGAATGCCAGTGATGTATTCCAAATACATATTCAAGCCGACGCAGAAACAACACTCGAGAGCAGACACGGAGTCCAGCGGAGCGAAATGCTAACAATTCAACACACACAGTTTGACCTTGCATAACTTACAGACCCGCTGATAAAGAAACACTGGCATGGACGGAATTCTGACCAATTGAATGTTGAAAAAATAAAAACTGCCACAATGATCCCAGTGCAGACAGACATAAATAGTTATCACTATTCCTGCACAATCTGGGAGGAAAGTCACTCCCTCTGTTTGAAGTTAATATTTTTTCTTGCAGCAATAAAGCCCTTATGTATATAATATATACTTAAGTGGCATTTTCACACTTCTTCACCTCACAATGCAGCGTTAGTAAAAGTCCAGCCACTTCACATTCTGCTGCCTCAGCTCGGCTCTGGAGGTTTAAGCCAGTTCACGCGGTATATTTGCTCCCAAACTGATTTAGATAACAATCAGAGATGAAAGGTAAAATAGCTCTTAAAGCCACGGTGGAGAATAGGACCTAATCAATATTACGGCGCCGCACTGCATGAAGCATAACAACTAACATGCCGGAGTTAGATTAACATTTGTTACACACAACTTTTAATGTTGGCGGTCGGCGTGAAGCCAGGCATCAAACGGGATAAAAAGAATGGATACACAAGCTCAAAAGAAGAAGAAAAACAATAACTTATACAACCAGAACAATGAAGAAGAAAACTAGCATCTAAACCATGAGGAAAAAGCAATAAAGTTACAAACTATGATGAAAAGTGACGTGTAAAATGTGTTATTAGGACGTTGAGTCGTTCATTACTGGCGGTATTACGCACAATCTGCGATGGGGTGTGAGATGAAGCACGCACACACACACACACACACACACACACCATGTGAACTTTATCATCATGACTGTATATTGACTTATTCACACCCCAAGATATCATTCATGGCTCCGCGACTGCACCACATTGGAACTTGAAGATGTTTTTTTTTAAGGTTTTAATCAGTTCTGCAATTTCTTGAAGCTCAGTTTGCAAAATCAGCGCCGCCCTTTTTTTAAATGGCGAAGCATGGAGGAATTTGAAAAATGACATCGTCAGGGTTTTATTATCTCCTGGTCCTCCTACCGCCTGTATCAAACCGAAGTGAGCTTATGGAGAACATTCAAAGGGAAGCATTTAGAAAAGATTTGACATTCAACCAAAGATTCCATTACACATTACCTGGAAATGTTATTTTGTCAGGAAAATTACAGGCCCGTTTGGGGTTCAGGGGAGAGGGGGGGGGGGCATTCCTGAGAAATCAGTCACTGAAACATAAAGCCTAAAATAGAACCAGAGAAATATTTCCTTTCTATTATGGTTGTTCAGAGTTTTTATAAACAGCAATGGAATGATTATTGGCTCAGGGGATAAACATGCTGGCCTGTGAAACATGACAGTTTGTTTTAATGATGTGGCTACTAGTACTGACTTTACCCAGGACCTGCATTACGTTTTTAAGTTGTTTAACTCCTCTATAGCAAAACGACAAAGCCCCATTACGGTCCTTGTGTTATATGATGCTGGGACATTAATCAAAGTGTTTGTATGTAACGGCTCAATTGTTTCCTTTCCCCAAAACAGCATCATATCAATGCCATAATAAACATGGATTTATTCAAACGAATAGATGAACCGAAAAAATAACTGGAGGCCGGATCTATCAGCGCTCGATAATGAGTGTGGGTGTGAGTGCTGCAAAGACACTCCTGACCGCGGAGGCCTTCGCTGCCGTTTCCAAGCAACACGCGCATCCACCGCGCTTCCCTTTATCTCTCAGGCCGCCTACGAGACCGGCTATTTCAGAGATGACGACCAGCGCTTTGCATGAATCCCAAAGAGCCCGCAGCTCTCGGTGGGACAACAGCTCCTCCCCCCCCCCCCGGTGAACACCGGGTAAACAAAGGTGGGACCACGTTACGCACCGAGGAGGAACCGCTGTGACCCTGCTGCCCAATTTGGGACTTGACATTTTCTCAAACAATGGACGCTATTGTCCCCCCCACCCTCCACATAGCTGACTGAATTTGCAATAACTTACTAATTAGGCTGTAGATCTGTGTAAAGAAATTGCAGGTTGTTAAAGACTCAAATCACACATTTGAGATTAATTTTTGATTTCCCCCCCTCTCTGTTTTCCTTCTAAAGAGCTTTAAATCCACATTTCAAAGTGCATTGGGGCTATAATTGAGTAAAAGCAGGGATGTACTCCACCTAATTCTTCTCCTGGACGGAGCGTGACACTTAACGGGTCACACTCTCAGTTTTATGGACCTTCCCAACGCATCCTTCCTTCGGACCGCTCACCAACTGCTCTACTTCTGAAACTCCCCTCGTCCCATAGAACGCACATCCCATTCAGCCCAACCCTCCCAGCTTCTTCCCCCGTGTGCCGTTTGTCCTTACGGTCACCGTGACAACAGACGAGTCAGACGCTGCGGAGACGCCTCGCTTCCTGTGATCGGAGAGTATCTTGGACTGCGACCGCACGACAGACTGAACCCACACACGGGAACTCCTCCCTAAAGAGTGAATCACATCCCGCGGGATCGACTCCTCGTGAGGAGCACTGACAAGTCAGAGTATCTGTGGAGGTTTGTGGTCTACGTAGGAAGAAACACGCGGGTCACCTTCCAACGTGACTAAACACGCCTGTGTAAAGATCTCGGTTCCCATGACACCGGCAATCACAGCTCACATGTTGTTGTTTTTTCTGTTTACAAGAGCATGTAGAAGAAGCCCTAAATGGATTACGCCGACATTATGATTAAAATTTGTTTTATTTTGCTAGCCTTATTTTTCTTGAACACCTAGATATCAATAAGCAGTGGGATGCTGAGGAAAAACCTGCCATAAATCATCCGCAACCGCTCAAGGCATAAATGCACAGACACTGACTCAACGGCAACGTACACGTGTGCGCACACGGTTGTGTGAACAACTGTTATGAGTACTCACATCAGTTTTTCTAAACTTGGCTTTGAGGCTCTTCATGTTCAGTCCGGTCCATGCAGTCACTCAGTCAAGGCTGTGGAGACAGAAGACAGATGTTTAGACTCACCACGAGTGATCGCTCGCCTCCGGTTTCACATTCACGCGATGTTGCGTTTCTGGACGTCTAAACCAGGGGATTTATGCGGCGTACGTACGCGGGGGTTGCAGTCGATTTGAGGTGCAAATGTGCAGCAGGGATTTATTGTGGCGAACCTCCACACCCTCTAGAAATCAACCGCTTGGACTCTGTCAAAAGCAAGTGGTCGTAATGAATATCCAGGTTAAAGCACCTCTGCATTTGATCCGTCAAAGGTCTGAAGCACTCTTACATTCATCGATTCCCTTTCTATACCAATTTGAACCTGTTTTTTTGGCAATGGCTTCCGGCTCTGTATTGTTTCCTATGAGGATGATATAAATCACCACAGAACCCTTGGAGATGTCTGGTGACTGCGTGTTTGTGCCTTGACCGCCTCTGGCAATTTCAGCATTTTCCATGCATGAAATGACCTACTCGAGGGATTTACTCCCCAAAATATTTAAATAGCATTCCAGTTCCAAGATTAGTCTACTCACTCCCTTCATTATTATTGTTATTATTTCCCCCTGTGTCTGCTTGGATTTCAAACCAAAGAGAACAAGCAACTTGAGGCCGCTCGCAATGAAAACTTTGTCCCGGTGGATTAATATTCAGACAATGAACGCATTCATACGGATTTTGCAGACACAAAGCAGAAGTTCGAAAGGGTTGTTCGGATTTTCAAGAGACTCACATACTGAAGTGGTCTGTGGTTTTATCAGCAGGTTGGTGCATTAAGGATAGCCTTGTCTCGGCAGCATTCAAGCCAACGAGATTAACATACATTTGCCTGCCACATGCAAATCATCTCGTTGTGTGAAATACCAGCAGCCCTTCAGCGTAAAATGGGCTGAAAAACACAAGAGAGCTGGTTTACAAAATAAAAGAATGTCCAACAAACGCTCTGTCTCGCGGTTAGACAGCAATATTAAGTTAAACCACTGGCTCAATGGTGTTTTATTTCCTTCGGACAGACAGTTGTGAGACTTTTTTTAAAGAAGGTTACATGATGGGAAATCCCTGGACACACTTACCCCGGTAACCAGCCGCGCGAGGGCTGCACACGTCACACGAACTCAGCAAACACGACCGCTTTTTGTGCCCAAAACAAAAACAAGAAACAACGAGGAGTATCTCAAAGGCGGGAGAGAACAGGAGGATGCATAAAGGGGGTAGGGGGGGGGGAAATAATAAAACAGTGCGCCCCGAACACACTGGCCCGGCTCGGCCCGCACGCATTCACCGCTCGTCGCTCCTCGGGACTCGACTCGAGAGCTGTTGCCCGCTTGAGGAAAGTGACGTCACTCCCCTTTCGCCCATTGTGCTCCATTCACGTTGTGGTTAAAGGGGAAGGTCTTTCCCACGCAGCTCGAGTGCAGCCGGTTGGAATATAATAAAAACGCGTCTCACTCTACTACTCTATCGTCCGCTTACCGAAGTGTGTGTTTTTGTGATGTCTTGAACTTCTGAAATGTTGTTTGTGTGTAGCTGCTTGCTCATTGCGTCCATAGTGTCCTTACGTGTAACAGCTGAGTGCATCACCTCGATAAGATTGAGAGAGTCTGCCAAAAACTAAAAGTCGTGTTGATGATCTGTCGCAACAGCTTTGCAATGCAACGTCTTTAAGCAGGCGAGGACGTGTCTGGGCTGCACGGCTGTGCTGTTGATGATAATCATCATAATACTGACTGGTCTACTTCACTGATGAACAAAATAGCATACGGTTAGAAAACGTATTCAAAGCATGTCAGCCTCAGTATCGTCTAAAAACTGTCTGTGGTCGTCTATTCAGGTTGTACTGGCATATATATATTTGTCTAAATGATCAGACATAAACATAAAACAACATAACATAAAAATGAGTCTCGAAAGTTAGTCTGCTAAACCAATGCGTGGGCACCCTTTATACAATATTCTGACTCAACAGGTATGACTCTAGTTCATAGACTAACAAAGAATGTTAGCGCTGGCATTGAGTTTTAGTAGATGTCAAGACAGCGGCACCTGGTGGAGAGGTTATCTACTACACTGTTGTTCTTTATTGTGAATAATACGTACTAATAGAAGTGTCACACATTCCACACATATTTCAAAAAGCCTTTATCACAAATATTTAAATAATATTATATATATATATATATATATATATATATATATATATGTGTGTGCATATATATATATATATATATATATGTGTGTGCATATATATATATATATATATATATATATATATATATATATATATATATATATATATAGTGTGTGTGTGTGTGTGTGTGTGTGTGTAAATGCATGTGTCAACATGACCTATATACTGAGATGTAATGACGTCATTGTCATTCGATTAGAAACAAAGAGTATAACATTCAAAACAGATATTGTTTGTACATTTGGCCTTTGAATTTCCGCTAATATAAGAGGAAATAACCGGAAATCTACTGTGTTATGTATGTTAATACACTAGTGAATATGAACATTTTCAAACACAACTTTGCGTTAAACGGGCATTAAAAAGAAAATCCATGTAATCATCACGGTCGCTCGCTCCAGGCGGCCGTTTACGAAAGCGGAAGTAGTAACAGGGAAGATCTCATTCCGGAAGTGGCTCTTTCTCTTTGATCTACCGAGAAGGTTCCCGGGGCATCAAAACAAACACAGCAGCCCCCCACAGGCGGTAGCTTGTGTCATTGAGAGCTGCTGCCGTTACATTTCACTCTGCTGCGTCACCATGCAACTCAAATCATGTTGCATTTACAGCATCGGAGTTTTTTCTATCCTCCTTCTGATCTCGGGCATTGTTTTGGTCCTGTCCAACGTGTTTCCTCTCCTCACCCAGTCGTTGGTCGAAAAGGTAAACATCATTTTCTAGGTCGACCTTCACAACGACGTCATCGTTAAATCACCGCTAAATAGCGTGACGTTAGACATTCTGAGGACGGCTAACGTTAATTAAATGCTAACGGCGATCACAGCCCGCTGGCTTCCGATTTGGCCGCTAACGTCACGTTTCAAGATCCAGACAGTCGCCAGACAAGCTTCAACGAGGTTGAATGTTTTACTGATAACTTACATTTAGGAAAGCGATTTCATTAGACGTGACATTAACAGGTATTTAGCTACGGTGAACCAGCGTCAGGCTAACGTGATCTCTAAAGCTCATTTGGGCGTGGTGTGTGTGTGTGTGTGTGTGTGTGTGTGTGTGTGTGTGGCCTGTATTATTACTATTATTAAGTGTTATTAAGTGTTTCTAAACCGGGGATTATATGTTATTTCAGTGATCAATGTGGGAGGTTAACTTTTGTGCAGATGGCACAGTCATGAGAATGTATTCTTGCGTTAAAACCTCTTTCGCCTACCTAATCTGAATTAAATGGTATAACGTTACCATGACCACTGACCCAAATGTGGATGTTGCCTTTGTCATATGATGTGAGAAGAGCTTACTCAGCAGGAAACTGGTTGTCTGAAGTTGCACATTTTTCCTGCAGTAAATGTAATTTCCCGCTCTGTCCTCCGTAGGAAGTCGTTTTGAAGAATGGTACCGAGGCATTTGAGGCCTGGAAGAACCCACCGGCACCTATTTACATGCAGTTTTACTTCTTTAATCTGACCAACCCACTGGAGGTGCTGGATGGAGATAGGCCTGCTGTGGTGGAGATCGGTCCGTATACTTACAGGTGAGTAAGGGAAGGGATAAAGAGCTCCTTTCCCTTCAGTTCAATAAAACACAGGGTGGGTGGAAACATGGCTGCGATAGAGATTCCATACTATCATACTTGAACAGAATTAAACTGCAGACGCCACGTTAATTCATTCAACTATTTCACAGTCAACTCTACCGACGGATTGCGGATCTTACAATGGAAACAAAGTCTTCCATCTTTTGAGCAAGAAAGGATCTGATGAGTAGCTTATCTAGAACCCCAAAGAAATGACCTCGAGATAAGCAGGGCAGTGTTAAAAAATGACATGTACATGTAATTACCAATAAACTATATCACAAAATGTAAGTATGTATGTCTACAAAGCAAAGCATACACGTTCTACAAAGATTTATAGAACAGGATAGATGTTGAATGGTATTCTCTACTACTATCCCTGTAATATTTCTACACACTTGTTGAATCAAAGCCCGGCTTTGGTAGAGATCTTAATAAATTATTACTTTCCTCCTGACGTAAACATTCATAAATGGTGGAGGTTCACCTTCGGAGACGTCACATTAGATTCAAGAAGGGAAATGACTTTGAATGAAACCTCTTTCCTGCATAATTGCAACATTTCAGCCAGCAATAGGATTTTCAATGCAGAACTTTATAATTATATAACAATAGTCTGAGATGCAGATACTTTGTGTATAATAAATTCCATCTTTTTATTTCCAGCTCCTAAAGTATTAAGCTGGAGGACTGTAACAAGGGACTTTCTCCGGTTTTCTTATTTCAACATTAACCAGTATTTATATTGTCCTGCACAGAGAGTACCGGCCCATGGAGCAAGTGGACTTCCAGGATAATGGCACTAAAGTCGCGGCTGTCAACACAAAGACGTACATTTTTCAGCCTAACATGTCCCGAGGTCCAGAGAGTGAACTCATCAGGACGGTCAATATTCCTGCAATGGTAAGCCAGATAAATGAACTATTGAACCACTATGAACCTCTACAATTGTTGGATAATACATTATTGAGTCTTAGTATTAGAATTCTCTAGTTTTATTTATCTATTTTATTGGTAATAACAAGCAATAACAAGGTAGTTGTGGGAATGTTATGGGATTATATTGGACTCAACATAGATGTGATTTTTGTTATTACGGTTATACAAATATAGTGAATCCTTTATTGTCCTTCTGAGATTGATAATATGCAGTGTTACTACTGCAATGTGAACTCCTGCCACTCCGCTTTTTACACAACTCGTCCTGTTTTTTTCCCGGTAGACGGTGATGGAGCAATTCAAGGACCAGCCGCTGATCGCCAATCTGATCGCCGCCTACATGAGGTCCGCCGACGAGGGCTTGTTCAGCACCCACACGGTGGGAGAGCTGCTGTGGGGATACGAAGACGCCCTCCTCAAAGCTCTCAAAACTCTAAAGCCTGACTTGGATGATGTGTTCGGACTCTTCCATAAGGTCTGATTCAAGCTTTCGAATGCAGCGTTATAAAGACTTTCTAATGTATAAGATCATTGCATGCACGTTTGATCATATTCACAGAAAGTTATGGTAAGTTTAATTTTTTTTTTTTTTTTACAGAACAATGGTTCCAACGACGGTCAATATGTCTTCTTCACTGGCCACCAAAGCTACCAGGACTTTGCCAGAGTGGACACGTGGAACGGTGACAGGTAACCGCCTCCACGCCCCTGCAGCCAAAAACAAATGACAGTAAAAGAATGAGAACTGTGTCTGAAAATCCAATCAGTGAGACACATGGACAACCTGCAGTTTAAATGGACGTGAGTTGGTTTACACAAAGTGATTGAATCAGCACCACAAAGGCTTATAAATCAATTCTTGTCTCCCCCAGTTAGATGACATCTCCCCTGCCTTTGTCCAGTCACATTCAATGTGTGTCCTTCATCAGTGCTTTTCTTGTCGCAGAGCCGCGCCAATCTTAATCTCCTCTGTTACACTTTCATCATCGTCTATCTTTTAAAGCCTAATTGTTTCAGACTCTTTTGTTGTGTCTGTCAGTCAGTTACAACAATGATCTTCCATACTGGACTTTCCAGCTAGCTCGAACACACAAATGGTTCAGGGCTCAGTCCTGGGTTTCAAAAACGCTTTTTCACAAAATACCACGAAGCAACAATACAATTTTTTGCGTTTATGCGTGCAGATCACTGAGTTGGTGGACGTCTGATGAGTGCAATATGATCAACGGAACCAATGGAGCATCTTTCCATCCCGTCATCGCCAAGAATGAGACTCTCTACATGTTCTCCTCTGACCTGTGCAGGTGAGTAGGTCGACCGAGCACCATGCAGCTAGAAGGCTAGAGATCTCTGCAAATGTTCGCCGCCGTTCACCAAATCACTCATTCCTCAAATCTCGTGTGGATCTTTAAAGGCATTAAGCATTGAGTGAGATGAGTCCCAGTCACACGTGACCCCAAACTCATTCAATGTTTCTCTCTTTCCTTCATTTCTTCGGGGCTCAAATGGGTCTAGGTTTCATTTTGTCCCAAATAGTTAGAAGAGCGGGACCTCTATTTACGTTTTAGATGGGGTTTGTTCTCTGCCTATTCATTTTCATTTTTTATTCATTAATTTATTAATTTTCCTGACAGACCGCCATGGTTCATCAGGCTGTAACATGTTGAATCAGCACTACCGTAAGAGTGTGTGCAAAGACCGCTCTGCTTTGTGGCGCTTAAAGTTGTGCAGAACCTATTCGTGCCTGCAAAGACCAACCAGCATCTGACTCTGTTTGCAAGGTCCCTGTACGCTGTGTACGAGGAGGACGTGACGGTGAAGGGGATCCCCGCGTATCGCTTCAGTCCCCCCAGCGATGTTTTTGCCAATCACACCGTGAACCCGGCCAACGCAGGCTTCTGTGTCCCCATTGGAAATTGCCTGGGCTCCGGCGTGCTGAACGTCAGCCCATGTAAACAAGGTAGGAGGCGCATTAAGCAGCTGCTCCGCATGGACGGCCGAATTACATTTCATTCTGTCACTTAGGACGGCTGTTTCTCTGAATCTGCTCTGCTCACTGAACGTTTTGTGTGCTCAGGAGCTCCCATCGTCATGTCTTCACCACACTTCTACCAGGCGGATGAGAAATATGTTCAGGGCGTATTTGGAATGAGGCCTCAGAAGGAGCAGCATCAGACTGTAATTGATATCAATCCGGTAGGACTTTCAACTCTTAAGGCTTGAAAATACTTATGTATATTTATAAAACTAATGTTTAGAAAGATAATTCGTGTCTGGTATTTTCTCTCTCAAAACAGTTAAATGAGAAAGCTTCAAATGATATCTAGTCCCCTAATTAAACTTGTTTTATTCTAAAACACTTTGCACGAGCACCATGTTCCACTCCCGTCTCCCACCAGATGGTGAACTCTGTCTGCGTGGTGGCCGCTGGCTCAGGAAGAAGTGGTGAACAGTAGTTAAAGATTAAAGCAGACGTGGGACGGAGCTGTCACCGTAGATAAGCCCCGACGGCTCTTATCATGAGTAATACTGTGATAATTGGATGGAGTGAGCGGTAAATATGGAGAGAAAGAGAAGCGGACTTCCAGGAGCACAACGCGTGGCTTGACATCTGGTTGACCCTCGTACGTAGAATTAGTATTACGATGGTTTTATTTGGACACGTACTTCAACCATTTTGACAATTACGATCCAAGATGAGATCAATAAAAAATGTGGAGTGAGTGAGTACACTATCAAACTGTCGCACAACTAGCAACTAAGGATTTGGTTCCAGTTATTGAGTCTTGAGAAAACTACTACTAAGACACATTCAATGCAGAGCTTACTTTGCACGGGTGCTTTACGTCACTCCTTTTCTCTAGTGAGGTGGCGCGCGAAGCCGCACACGCATCAGTGCTGTTAAGTTTCCCTCAAACAGTCAGCGTGGTTACATGGATTCGAATAACTGGCTTAGTCGGACTGAAATCGAATGATCCGTTTCATGTAAACACCTTTGTCCGACTATGTGCGGCCCGACTACGATCCGACTAACACCCCTGGATAACGCGATCCGATCCAGTTGATAGTTCGACTATTGCGGCATGTAACGGTGAATCGGATAATGAACTGGACTTTGCGTCTTTGCGCATGCTTGAGATCCCGACGGCGTCTTCTCTCCGTTATCAAATCAGCCGATAGCGCCATTCGCATTCGCTGTGCTCCTATTAACATCATGCAAACATAGTAGAGGGATGTAGCTTCACCTTGCTCTCCGCTCGCCACGTTTCTCGTAATGTTGATGTTGTTGTTGTTGGTAGTGGTGAAGCGGTCAAGCGCAAATGGCTGTATCACAACTAGTTGTAATGAAAACAGCGCCACCTATCGTATCGGATATGACATTCTTTCGGCCAATGATTCGATTTATTCACCGCCATGTATATTGGGATAATAGCACTTGCCCCGAAAGACAGCATAGTCCGACCAAGCAAAGATTTTAATTATACCATCATGCAAACACACTGACTGAGTAAGAGTTTGATTCTGTTTTCGCAGTTTACAGGAATCATCGTACAAGCGGCGAAGCGGCTCCAGATCAACGTATTTGTCGAGAAAATCCCCGGCTTCAGGTATTTGCTCATCATTCCCGTCCCCCACGTTGGCTGAAATGAAGCCGTTTTAGTCTCGGAAGGGGTTTTCAAGGAGATGACAGTGAAGCAATCATGCCACCATCATCAATGTGAGTGGACTTTTGGACACTTGTTTGTGCGTCCGCTTGGCATCGGAAGGAATAAACATTCTTGATATGATCTCGAGTGGACTACTTCTATGTGGACTAATGAAACGTATGCTATACGACAACAGTAGGCCTGGAAATGTAGTGCAGTAAAGGTGACCTGCATGTCTCTTTGCCATTCATTCATTAAAACATGGCGAATAATCTCGTTTTCTTTCAGTGAAACAGGAAATGCGAGGACAGTGTTGATTCCTGTGGTTTATCTCAACGAGGTACGAAGACAGCAACTCGTCCTTCAGTCATAAATGACATGAAACCGTGTTTAACTCCCACTAGAGCCTTTCTTTGTCGGTGTTTCATGTGGTGCTGAACCTCGATTTCTCACCTCCTCAGAGCGCCCTCATTGATGACGCGTCTGCCGCGAAGCTGCATAAGATCATCGTGCAGCAGAACGTGGTGGTGAACATTCCCTTCCTGTTTATTGGTCTAGCCATCATCCTGGGAGGAGTCTTCATGTTCCTGATGTGTCGACAGAAGGTCCCCGAGGTGAGTGTTTGAGATGGACGTTGATGGGTTTGTCAGATAACGATTGCCTTCCTCATTGTTCAATCTGTTGATTATGTGTCTCTTTGACGGATTCATTCTTTAGTCCAGAGAATTTTATGATTAAGTGTTTTGTTTGACTAACAGTGCAAAATCCAAAGATATTGAAGTTAAAAGATGTAAAACAGAGGACACCTATTTGTTTCTGCTGGATAAAATGACGCATTTAGCCAATAGTGCCGAATTGTTGTTAACTCACTAGCAATATTCTGAGGATTAACTAATCGATTAAATTAGATAATAATATTATCTCTGGCAGCCATGTAGAAAAAGAGCATAAAACATTTTTTATAATAAAATAATGTTCTAGTGACAATGTTCTTAAATGCATATTATTATCTGAATGTGTTCTATATGTAACTATAACTAATAGACACGTTTTTCAACAACTTTAGTTGATACTTTTGTGACTGGTTTTATTTTTCAGAGCTCTGCGGCTGAACGGCAGCCGCTGCTGTCGTCATAGCACCAAACCGAATGTAACACGAAGCAGCGTTGCCGTATTTGCATTAGATTTCACATTTCATGGGTTCAATGGATCGCGGCCGTTAAAATCATTAATCCCAAGTTTCCATTATGAACCACTGTTACGCATTTTAATCAGATTTTCAGTGCAACGGTTTTAGGAAACAAAGTGAAAAGGTTAGTTACAGGGACGGGGTGAATGTCGTCTTTACAAGTCATTTGGAATGATCATGAAAAAACAGCATTTAAAAATAAATTAACAGCGTGAATTTGGCGGATTAAATCGATCACCGAATCTAATTTGAATGATCTTTGGAGTACGCCCTAAACTGATCACACCTAGTGCGTTTTATTGATTAACCATAGCCAATATTATAATAATGTATAATCTGTCTCAGTGTGTGACCATAGATGCATGTCTGTATAACTGAAATATTGACGGAGGAATATTTTGTGTTTTTTTAAAATATACCACTAATCTGTTTTTAGAACCGTCTGGTTTTGTTGTTGGTTGTTGACGCATCAACAAGAAGAAAGTTTGTACAGCTATTTTATTAGCTAAGATAAATATCTTTTCTTTTTTTCCACGTCAACATTTCAAATTTCTGAGTTGTGAAAAACAACTGCATAACGTTTTATTACTGATGTCTTAAACCTTTACCTCTCAGCTTCCTTTTGTAGGGCCGTACACCCTTGTTACCTTCAGTGGAAATCTACTAATCCACAATATCTAAATGCTATGATCTGCAACCACATCCAAAAGTATTACACAATATCAGGATAAAGGAAAGTATTTTTTTGGTGCACAGTACAATGTCTTCTTTTCCCTAATTTCAATAATTTCATTTAAATGGGATGATTTTGAATACTACTGATATTAGTACTTTTTATACTAATTATAATAGTATAATAATTATACTACTGCTAAAATCCTTGTTGGAACACTCATGTTAGTGACAGCACTAATAAATAGAATATGTTGTTTTTAACCACCCTGGATTTTCCATGATTTTATTTTTAAATGCTGCACTTTTTAATAGACTTGTTTCAGATGATATATTGTTACGATATTTTTTTTTTATTAGGTCAGATGGAAATAAAAATGAATTTTCTGCTCCATAACTACATAGAACGTTTCTACAAAGTGTAATTTGCTATTTGACCACTGACGAATCGCCTTGTGTTCATTTTGTTTTGGTCCTTGTTTACAACACTACTCTCACATAGTGAAATCCATGTGTAATAACTGTTCAGGTACTCTCAATATCACATATAACCATTCGCACATTGTCTTGCCACTTGCTAAACTTCTATAAACCTGGTGTGCTTCACATTGTCTAAAGGTGTGTTTTGTTCAGCCACATTCCCACAGTCCGTGACACATGTTACCTTTAAGTTAAGATACCTTTCGACGTGGAGTCGCCCCCGATTACGGGGTTGAAGTATACTTTGAACTCCCTGCCGATAAGCTTTGACTGCCACTGGCATTATAAAACAGTTATGTACCAGTTGGCTTCATTGGCTCTGACTTGAGATCAGTTTCTTTGGACTGAATCTTTCACATCTGTGTAATGCTAACTCCTCCCCAAGCTGCTGAAAGCCTTTAATACAAGTGGCAAAGGGACAACACAGCGGCTGCACTACAGACTTGCTGCACTTGAACTTGATCTGCAAACATGAAGACGTTTCAGGAAAGGATCATTGTTCTGTCAGTTTTTCTGACCCTGACCTGTGTTATTCAGGTGAGTTAATAACCCTTCTGTTACCTGCAATGTCCTCAGACTTTGCTTTACCTTATTTGTGCCGTCAGAGGGCATAATGCTTTTTTTTTTCCATCTTTATTGGAATTTGATTTTATTACCTTAAATCGTGAGGGTGATCCCAGTTGTTAAAGGACCTCGTATTTACCTCAACAGGTGGAGTCACTGCCAGTTCCTGAAGACTGGATAGGTTTGGTGCACCGGACCAAGCGGTCCCTGCTGTGGCGTTGGAACAGCCTGAAGCCCGTGGGGGCCAGCTGCAGGAACACCTTAGAGTGCGCCACAAACTACTGCAGGTACAGCCGAGCCTCCCAGACACCATGAAACCTACTTCAGCGGACACTTCAAATTCTAAATTCACAAATAGAAGAACAACGTGTTTTAATCCTGGGGGGATTATTGTATTCATTTTGTTTTGTTTTTTTCATCATAAATGTGAGACAAGACATGCTATTTCTGAATGATTCCCCTTATTGAATGATAGCTCATGATATTAAATAGACACAATGTTGCTCTGACTCTATGCAGTAATACATGTTGACTAAATGAAAGTTTGGTCCGTGTGTATTTTGAATGGCATGGACAAAGTCAGAAGGTTACGACACTGCAATGAAGTTGCTCCTTATCTTTACAGGAATAATGTCTGCGCCTTCTGGAACTCTTTTTGAAGAGGATGCATCAAACAAAATGCTACTTTATGGACCAAAGCGACAAGGCTGATTGATTGGACTCTGTGGACTCAGTTAAAGCCACAAGTTCGAGCATTGCACTGCAGAAAAACAAAGCTATGAATCCTCCTTTTGTATGGACAAACAAATGGCTGCATCTAGGGCAATATGATTTTGGTAATTTTGATTTGAAACACTTGCAGGACATCAAACACAATGTATTTAATGTTTTAATACACAAATATAAATATTCATGAAAAGTTTGTGAGTTTATTTGTTCATGTTATTGCCATATTCTTATGTGTACATACTGTAAAAAATGTAGATATTCAAATATACATTACTTTTTTTTCAAAGAAGTTGCTTTGCCCAATTTATTTTTGTTTAACAAGCACAGAAAAAAATTAAATTATTCCATTTGCATCCGTCTACTCTGTTAATGAAATGGAGGAGGAGGAAAATTTTGATGTTGGTGGGTAAAAAAATACATTTTTGCATTTATCAGCCAATCCCGTGTACCACAATGTGCTGATGCATGTTAGTTCCAATTTGAAAAAGAAAAAGTGCCCGAACATCTGTCCAACACCTCAAAGAAATATGAATATCATAAGTTGTCAGACATCTTTTTGAAATCGACATACTGTTACTTATGTAATACAGGATATTATATTAGCACAGTTTCTCCCATCACATTGGTTAGAAACTCTCAGTAAAGCAAAATATAGAAAGTGAAGCGTAAATGTAATTTGTTTGTATTGTCCTTTTACGACGCTAGAACCGTACAGCCCAAACTTAGCTTTTATTTTTCCCTTTTTTGTTGATCATTATTTTACTGTTGGCCAACTTTATTTCTTAGTTCATCATCCCCACCTCTCACTGGAAGTTGGCTGGGATAGACTGCAGCCCCCCCGCGACCCTGTGTCAGGATAAGCGGTTCGAAGATGGATGGATGGATCGTCCCCACCACCTACTTCACCTAAATCTCACTTTCTGATCCATCACTTCTGTTTCCTGTTTGTTTACAGTTGTCTCCACCCCCTTTGCTCCGCCCAATGCTCCACCCTGGTTTCCACCCTAGGCCGGGGGCTGGTTCTACGTGGTCCTAGTAGGCCTGTGCCTTTTTTATTTTTGTTGAACGTTAGTTTTTCTGACTGAAAAAATGAGAGGGGTCCAATATTGTGTTTGAGTCCCCACTGTAAATGACTTATTTGCTAGAATCGAGGGTACAAAATACAAGTTACCACACTACCAAACACACATCGTACACTGATATCTGAACCCTGACTTCTCATCTTCACCACTAGGTGGCAGGCTAAGGCAGGTCGGTTTAAACGAAGACGCCACCTTGGACCATTTGTTTTGGCTCCAATAACCATTAAACTAGTATTATATTAGCAAAGTGAGATTCTGTGATTGCTTTGGTAAGAGTTACACCATGACGTTCTCCGCTGTTCAGGCATTCACACAACTGTTGCTCCTAGAACTGAATAGTTCAACATGCATGGTCACTGTATTTGGTAATGATTCAATGAAGATGACTATCTAAAATTAAATAATTTTATATCATTATCATCATGAGGCAATTTTAGGTGACAAAACCCTTAAACATCAGGCCTACCGCTTAAATGAGAAATACAATGGGCATAATGTTAATATGGCACGATTATATATTATAAACGTTTTTTTTTTTTTTATTAGTGTATGAGTCAAAATCATTATTTAGTGGCTCACATGTGTGACTAATCATTATAAACTAAAACATATTTCCACGCACATTATCTAAATGATATGATATATTTAAATCAACACATATAAACACACCAGATAAATGTGTAAAATATTAAGCTATATACAACCCTGAGCCATACATAGTTACTCATGTAAAAATAAATAATATTATCATATTTATTATATTGACGGCGGCGCGTCCTTCTCCCTCTTCATTGGTTGAAGGCGCGTGACGGAATGTCTCCGTCGGGCTGAGCGGTGCTGGTCCGCTGTCTCCGTCTGGACTTCAATGCTGGACCGCTTTCATGTAGTTCTACGTTCCCCCGGTAAGCCTTTGGATTCTCTTTATTTCTTTAACCACCGATGTCGGGTTTCAGAGATGAAGATATCGGCTTTCTGATGCGTCTCTGACATCAGAAGTGCGTCGAGTCCTCGCGCGTTTAAAAAAAAAAAAAGATTTGTTTGGCTGCGTGTTTTTTTTTTTATTTCTACCATATTACACGGAGGCAGAGGACGGACAGCGCTCTGGATTGAGAACTGTTATCAAGTAGGTAACAATGTCTAAAGACGATGATGGCGATGACGCAAATTAACGAGCGCGTGTCTTGCACATGCACACTTTGCCTTGAAGTCAATTATTAGCTTCTGCTGATTTTAATCATTCGTCTTTAGAGAGAAAGAGGGGGAGGCTGTTTATGCTGCATCTCCTGTTGTCTAACACGTTGTTTGAATCTTCCCTTTTCATTATACTAAACAGCACACATTACCTCTCTGTCCACGATGTATGTTTCTGTTCATGTCAAAGTTAACATCCAAACTGCGTGTTACTGAGTTTATACTGAAAGTTTTCCTCACATGATGTCCCAAAGTTAGAGACAATAATAATCAGCCTCACCATCCAAATATTTCCAAGCACTACAGCAACAACAACAGTGGACTTGGGACTCTTTGCCACCGTCCCGTCCCTCGTGTCAGATGGCTGCCTTGACCTGGTTCAGTTCATCACGGACATCTCAGCGTGCTCCAGAGGACAGACCTGCTAGTCTGCGGACCTCCAGCCCCGTGATAAGAGTCGTATCCGCTTTGCGGGGTTATTGTTAGTCCTCTGCAGACCAACACAACCAGTCATGGCGGCCTACTTGTGAGGTATTGGCATTGACGGGATAAATCCCAATTCAATGCAGCCCATCGAGAATGATATCACCCTGTAGGCCACATTAGCAGAGCATCAAACTACAGCATGTTGATTTCAAATGACAATGAAAAGAGTTCGCCCCTCCCTCCACAGACCTAATCAGACTGTTTCCGGCCAACATGTACGTTTGTACTGGGGGCAGTCGGGTATTCATCATATTGCTGAAGGACAAGACGCTGACCCCGTGATTACAGGCCGAGCTGTGCTGCCTCCTGCTTTCATGTGGAAGTGCCAAACAATAGCGTTTGTTTAACAAAAAACAAAAAAAAACTAATGGATATTCAAATTTACACATAAAATAATACAATTTAACTAGATCAGAATTTGTATTCCGAACGAAGCTCTGGTGTTACAAAGTTAGTACAAACCGATCATATTCTTTTTTAACTTTTTGTTGAAGAAAAGGTTTCACCGCTAAGAGACACATCCACTTTCTGTATTGATCAGACGGAGATTCCTGCCTACGAGCATGTTTTGATGCCTTTGCTGTTTGTTGTTTACTGCAGAAAGAGGATTATCTCGTCTGCAGCAGATGTTGTTTGTTTACACACGTTGTTGCCAGACAGTAGAGCAGCAATGTGGCGTCTGTGAACTGATGGCTGCTTGATGGGTGACATAAAGTCATTAACAATCTCTCAAGACTGCGGATGTTTCAGCTAAATTGAATAATTTCATGATTTCTAACTTTGTTTTAATTTCAAAGTATAGCAGAAACACTATTCAACACTGCTGACGGCAGATATCAGCGAATGGTGTGTGGGCGTATCCTAGCAACATTAATTATTACTGATAACTTAAAAGGACTATTTTGCGAATGAATGCCAACAGTGTTGTAAATGTTTCATGTGCTTTGTAATGACATTTTTCTCTACTCAACACCAGTCATCACGGTGGTGGTTTAAGAAGAAGACGACGATCATTACACTGCGTCCACGTGTCCGTCTGTGAAATCCAAAGCAACGTGCATGCGGTAGAGCGCATTGAATTAAGTAAACTGATGTGAAAGTGTATTTAATCTTAGCGGTGGCAGACGAGCATCTCCGCAGTGCAGCTGCCCTAGTTACAGAGCAGCTGAGTGACTGAGAGTCTGTGGTTGGACCGGGCGCAGAGAGGGGAGGAGTTTGTTAATGGTTGACTGAATTATGGAGGGTAGCCTGGGCTGAGGGCCAAAAAGCAGACAACACAGTAGGACTTTGACTGTAGGACGAGCGGCGTGAAGAGGGGGAGTAGACCCTTACAGCACCAGCCTGCAGTGTTTTTCTTTTTTATATTTCTACTCTGAGTTGCTTTTAATGTGGAATTCAAATATGCACATTACTTAGCAAGGTCCCTGAGGCTTTAAGCCTGTCAGAGCATCACAGCTAGACGTGTCATTGAGTTCATGAATCAAGAAACGGATCTAAGGGGAGATGAACATGAACGCTTTGTATGTACATATACCAACAAACATATCCCGATTACATTTACATGCGACATTAAAACATGCAAAACTGAAAAAAAAAATCTCAGATTCAGATATGTCCACAATGGTATCTCTACTCTGAGCTCGGCCTTACAAAAAGCTTAAGATTATATTTGGTGCGTAAAAAAATGCTTGACACAAAGTGTCATACTTCTCTGTTGATTCCATGATGGGGTTTTCACCACTCATAATATATATTAGATTATAACATTAGTATAATATCATAATATAATATTTAAGGCATTCTTCATCACCCTTGACAACGAAACTGTGTACAGTGGTAGTAATTGATTCATTCTGTTTTTAAGAAATTCTATTTTTCCCTTCAGGATTTCATTTTAGGAGCATGGAGACAGTGTCCGTGGTCCCGCCTGTCCCAGCAGCATGATTGCAGCACCGAGTCTCTCAGGGGACACCCTGATAGCGTGCCGCTACCCTGTGGTCCGGCTTCCCACCTGGCAACTCAAAGCCTTGTGCCGTTCGGCCAAGAGACCCAGCCGGCTGTGCTCGGCGGGCCTGACCCGAGCCGTGTCCCTCCCGGAGCGAGACTCGCACAGCCCGGAGCATCCCGGCGCCGGGGGCCGAAGGCCTTTTTCCAGCAGCTACGGTAGTCTCAATGAGGACCGAGCGGAGGACGAGGGGGGCAGCGACAGCAGCGGGAAGTACGACTCCACCTCGTCACCGGAAGAGACCAGTTCCCACCTGAAGACGGACGGCTGCGGCGCCAGAGACGGGCTGCGGTCACACAACTCGTTCCTCGCCAGCGCAGAGGTGGACGAGGATCAGGAAGATGAAGACAGTGATGGAGATAATCTACACAGATATCGAGAGGACTCATCTTTTGTCTTGCATGGGAATTCCAACTGGCCACTAAGTAATGGTGCCAGAAATCATGCAATGTCCAATGGAGACACAGACGGTGAATGGGGCATCGAAGACACCATCTTGGGTTCGGAGAGTGACCAGGACTGGCTCTCTAATCAGCCTGACTTGCTGGACTCGCTGCAGACTGAATGCCGGTGCTTCCATGTGAGCACATCGGGCATCGCAGGGATGGCTCACGGAGAGCAGGGCTCAGAGAGGGTGAAGGATAACAAGTCCGGCTGCATCCACAGGCGGCACAAATGTTCCCCCGAGCTGTTCTCCAACAGTCTCAGTGAGTATGTCAGCGACTCCTCCTGCAACAGCTCCGATGGCGTCTTGGTTAACTTCTGCACTATCTACAACAGGAGCAACAACCCCGCCACGCCTAATGACCTCAGCGGCCCTGCAGCTCAACCCTATCAGTCGTCCGAGGGATCCGTGTTCCTCAACCTTCAACCCGTTCCTCAGACTCCAGCTGAGAACGTCCAACGCGATGACGCGGCAGTTGACGCTCCCTCCAGCGAGGAGGTTGACACGACGCCGCCTTCTTACTGCTGGTCTCCACGGGGACTCGACTCTAACTGCAATCTTTATTCTCTGGAGCCGCCGCCCCCGGGTCTCTCCTCGCTGGAGGTGTCCGACCTGGCCGCCTGTCTCCAAGGCCAGGCCACACTGGCCATGGAGACCAACCAGAAGTACTACAAGCTCGTGACTTGTGACCTGTCCTCCCAGTCGCCCAGTCCAGCCTGGTCCAGCCTCACCAGCTGCGCCGAGGCTCAGATCAGAAGCAGCTCCTTCCATCCCGCTGAGCAGCTCTTTGCTGATCATAAGAAAGAAGGACAAGACAAAAGAAACCAAAAGGTAATGTCACAATAAAACAGATCTCCTAGTGGATGTGTGGAATATTCTGTACTGATAATCATTGTATCTCCTCTTAATTTATGTAAAAATCAATTTGTAATTTTTGTCGCTTAAACCAACTCACCATCAGGAGGAGAATCGTCAAAAATATTGCTCGCAGTGTCAGACCTACGACTATCAAGCCGCCACCACAGAGAAAACCCCCTGCAAGAAGGAACACACAGACAGCGTCCAAAACGTCTCCCACGCGTCCTGTTCGCCGCGTCCCACCAAGTGTAGCCCACATAGCTGCAACGGTCAAGGCACCGGCGCTGCGTCCACGCAGCCACCTGTGAACGAGGAGCCCTGTGAAACGTGTGCCACTGTGCAGGGTGCGTCAAAGAGCGCTTCCGTTTCTTACTTTCTTGAAAGAGAACAATATGCGAACGCAAGAAAAAACTGTATTCATCGAATTTAACATCTGTTTCAACTATTTTCTTTATTCTCTACCTCCACCTCAGGAGCGTGTTCGCTGGGAAATGCCGTGGTGCGCTACAGCAAGGCCCAGAGGCCGACCTCGCTGCCCATCCAGCCCTTTGTCTTGGCCCCCGCGGGCAAACCCCAGAGCCAGCACCTCGGCTGTCTTCTGGAGCAGTATGTGAATCAGAAGAGCGGCAACTCTGGCAGCTCCCATCCGGGCATCAAGTTCAACGTCAAGCGCAGCCAATGCTTTTCTAATCTCCAGCTTTCGCCAACGTCCGACCGCTTCCCCGTCCTGCTGGAGGCTCCTTTGAGCTCTGACACCTGCTCCACCTGCACGCCGAGTCCAGAGTGGTCGGCCAGCCGCGGACGCATGTGGGGCCAGTTCAGCAGAGGTCAAGGACGCCTGAGTCCGCGCGCATCAAAGATCATCCCCGATCCGGCCTACAGCAGCCCAAAGCCAACACTGGTTCAAGATAAAAGCCCATATCCGGGCGAAACTGAAAATACTTGTTTTAATCTGTTTTCAACACCGAATCAGACAAACCTTGTTGAAATTCCCGCCAACCAGACTCTTATCAACCTTACTCCTGAAGACAGCCATGGCAACACTGAGGCCATAAGTGACAATCAGTCCCAGACCCACAACTCCTATGATCCAATCTTCTCCAACACTACCACACCACCTACTTTACTCCTAAGCACCGACACCCGTCACCCAACCCTGCAGGTGTGCCTGTCTCCTGCCACCACCACCCGACGACCAGAAAATAGGTTCCCTCAGCACCGGGCCGCACCTGCGGCTGACTCTGGCTTTTTCCTGGGTAGTTTTACAGCTGCCCTCTCCTCGGTAGCTCCTCTGTCCTCTTTGAGCGGCCTGCTCTCCTTGGCAGCATCCGGGCTGCAAATCCCGGACTCAGCTGGAATCAGTGGGAAGGAGAGTCAGAGTCAACACAGCGAATCTCTGATCCTGAGTGACAGGCCGCCCACAGAGTTCTGCCTCTCGCCGGATACATCTTATGAGTCGATGTCCATCAGCCACCTTCAGAGGAGAGGTGAGGCCAATGGGCGACCACCTTCTGTTTGTGTAAAAACATGTGATGTGGGTATACGGCTTACTTTGAAATCTGAATGGAGTAATAAAATAGTGTGCTAGTAACAGTAATGACTGAATCCCTCCTCGATTGGATTGTCGATCCAGTCATGAGTTGTAAAGAGCAGCAATAAAAACTCCCTGTGCTGTAGCAGTGCCTTCGACACCCCGGAGGGGATTCCTCTCAAACATGACCTATTTTTAACTCTCCCTGCACGGGATTGGCTGAGCCTCGTGTTCAGTAGCCTATGTGTGCACGACTGCAAGCTCCTGAGAGGAGATCAGAGAGGGAGAATCATGCAGTAAAAACAGTGTTAAAGATTTATGAACACACCTTATCGTTCCTTTGTGCGACATGGGTCACCGTGTGCAAATTTTTTTTTTCATATACGTGAGCCTTTTGGGATGGATAATCGACGATGCAGAGACTGTGGCAAAACATTCAGTGCGGTGCAGCATTGGGGGCAGCATCAATGCATGACGAATTTACCGTGGCATTTGCCGAGGCTAACCAGTATGGGATGAAGAAAGGCAGGCAGGGGGAAGCAAGTCAATGAGGTCTGCTGCTAAAATGGTCTCTTTCATCTTGCGTTCACATTAACATTTGAATTCCCGCAATATGACAATGAACCCTTAACTGAATCTCATATTTCTGTGCAGTGACCCAGTTAGCGGGGTGAAAGTCTTATTGAGCAAGTTTTGGATTAGTATTACGGAGTCTTATTTCAAATCTTATGGTTCCGAAAAAATTATTTCAACCCGTCTGAAATACAAATCAACATGTGTAAAGAATCTTCTGGAGATTACAAGATGGACAGAAGAAGGGAAATGAATGCACTATTATTATAATTCAAGAAATCACATTGTTTGTGCTGGAATTAGGTTAGCTAAATTCCTCTATTTGTTGAAAATGGCTCACTAAAATGCCATGTGATTGGGATTTATAATGTAACGTTTTCTATATTGTAATATATCGATATTTTGTTTCTGCCCAAACAATGTATGAAGCATTGACTACTTCAACTTGTCAAACCTCTCTTCCATTTTCTCAAGGTTTGCTGAGGTCTGTGAGCAGGGCGGTGGACTTGATCACGGCTCATTTTGGCAGCAGCAGAAACCCTGAAGAAAAGGTAGGAATTTTGGGCAGCTACAGCAGCTTATATGTGTGTGTAAATATGTATCACAATGGAAAAGCACTGATATCACCTACATTTTAGGACCGAAGTGTCAGCAGGAAAATATACAGCATATTTGTATTTATTTGTTCCTTCTGCCACAGATGCGTCTGGGTAACAGCTCTCGCAGTCCCACGATAGCCGGTCTAGTTCTGGAACATTTGTGTCCGGCGATACAGAACATCTTAGAGGACGGACTCAGGGATCACAAACTGGATCTCGTCATCGGGCAGCGACGCAACAACTGCTGGAGTGTGGTGGAGGTCTCTACTAGGCTCGGTAAATGGAACCGGAGCGAAGCGTCAGTGATGTCGTGGCTTGTTGTGCTGGCGGAGCAGCATTGTTTGTTGAAACTCGAGTATTTTTGGTCCCTGTCTGCAACAGGTCCATCCACCAAGGTCCTTCACAGCCTGGTCTCCAAAATTAGACAATATCCACAGCTGACCAGCCACTGCATGAGACTGAGGGCCTTCATTATGGGCCTGCTTAAGTGAGTAGGGAAATGGTCAAAGTAATGACGCTGAAATGACTCCACGTGCAATCATTCTTCTTCTCTTTGTTTTATTCTCTCTTTCAGCTTGAGAGCTTTGGAATTCTGGCTGAGTCACCTTCAGAGTCTAAAAGGTGAGCGCACAGTCAATTTACTGTGCTAGCATTAAGGACCTGTTTCCCATACACTTTTTTGATATAACTGAATATTTTCCGTTCGCTCCTTTGTCAAATTTCCATTTGTTGCTGAATAGCAAACGTTAAAATGCACATTAGATTGAAACGCTTATCATAGTGGTCATCAACTGCAGGCCAGGTGTTCACAGAGATGTGGTTGAGAGGTCTAAAAAAGAAGGACCTTGAGAAGCATGTGAACATATCATCAACATGACTGTTAGCATGTCCATGTTAGCGTAAAGCTCAGCAGCAGATTATTATTGCATGTCATTGCATCTTTGTGTGTTCACACTCGTTACCGTCTCCACAGATGTAGTGTCAACCTACTACCACTCTTGGGGGTTCCTGTCCATGTCACTGGGTCGGTGTCAGCCCTTGTTTCAAGAGCTGCTGCTTCTGCTGCAGCCGCTCTCTGCGTTGCCCTTTGACCTCAACTTGCTCCTGGAGCCCCGACTGTTGCGTAACAGACAGCTGTGTTCTGAGGAGCAGGAAGTTCCTCCTCCTCCGCCGTGCTCGGCCCTCCTGGTGACCAGCTGGCCGCTACTGCAGGCTGACAAAAAGGTGGACAGAAGCGACTGTAGTCAGCAGACTGAAACGTCCCACCGGACACGCCGGCGTCACCAGGAGTCTCTCGGCTCTCCGGGTGGTGCCGGGCCGGATCGTGGGGGGGTGCGGGCCGACAGGAGCCCGTCGTCAGCTCCCATTCCTGAGTGGTGGCCGAAGGAGCCTTACCTTATGGATGGTGTGGTTGAAGGAGAGGACTGTAGGCAGAATTATGCAGATAATTGGTCTCAAATAAGTATGGACAGCAGGCAAGAAGAGAAGAGGCCAGAGGGGGACAGTGAGACACAGAGTGCGCCCGCCCGTCTCCTGGCTGAGAGTCCACGTCAGGGCGGCATGCGCTGGGCCAAACTGTTCGGAGCATCCGATACCTCCACCAGGACAGAGACGGTTTCTCACAGTGGAGCACAATCCAGAAGGTAAGAAGCACGACAACAAAAAGCAACAACAAGTAGCGCATTGATTCTGAGTTTTGATTTTCTTACCAACCCATACCTCTATGTCGCTGCTTTCATAGGTACACGCGACCGTCGCAGTGGCTGAACTTTGACGGATCACAGTTTGGACTGTTTGCTCAATCCATCAGGTCAATGAAGCTCGGAGGAGCTCAAACCAACAAGGACTGCTGAAAACCAAACGCTGTGTAGGTGGGGGACCAAGTGGAGCCTATTTACTGTATAGGCCGTGTACTGCACAGTCTTACTGTAACTGCATGATGACACATACACGGTGCTGAAGTGATCAGACAGCACATAACATAACAAGCTTTGGCCCTCATTCATCAAGCCTTTTGGAAATTAGTTGATAATGTTCTCGTGAGAAATCTAAAGTATCTTCAGCGTGTTTTTGATTAAGTATTTCATGCAGACCAACATATAGGAAAATAATACCCAAATCATTGAACACGAGCCATAAGTGCAACCAGGAGTTCGTGACACAATCCAGCCGAAACGGGAGGAGCAGGAAGGTCTGACAAAGCGTCTTGGAGGAAGAGATGCGTTAATCAGAAAGGTCACTCCTGCACAGAGTAACTGGAGCAGGACACAGGTGTGAAGGAATGCACACATCAAGCCCCCCGCGCCTCAGTTATGAGTAAAGGAGAGGTCACGAGAGGTCACAGAGGTCACAGAGTTCCCAGGAAAACTCAGAGTGTGCAATAAGGTTAATTTTTGCCCGTCCGGTATTGTTTCGACCGTGTGTCAACTAGGCAACGAGTGGTCCAGGAGACACTTACTGTAGCTAACAACCACAGAGGAGGTTTTCACTACTTTTAACAGCACGTTTGTATTTCTGGTGTTGTTGCCACAGCACAAGATGCAGTCATGAAAACGTTCACAATCATCTCATGATGACCATGAGGCTCTCGTTTGAAGGTGGCTGTGGTCTGCTCAAGGGGAGCACCATTCATACTAAAGAAATGCGTAAAAAGCGATATATAATGTTGTCAATAAAACTGTTTCAACAAGTCCCCTTATCAAAAACTGTAGCAAACTGAGCATAAAAGTCAAAAATACCATTTAGAATCCATCTATCATTTGTAAACCTTTATAAATGTCGGTATTCCTTTGTGTCATTGTTTTAATAGTGAAATATGTGTTTAGAGTATTTAGATAGATATTTAGTTTGACCAGTAACCTTACGTACCATCTTACTATTGAAACCAACGGGTCATATATCAGCAAGTCAGTTAGTTTCTTGGTGGTCGGGTTTAACAGTTACACCTGGATTCTACATATGTCCCTTCATTGTTTTTTTATAGGCGCTCTTTTGTAATTTGAGCTCAAATTAGTTGTGAGATAAATATCGATGATTTCTGTCGGAATCATTTCCTCAGATCCTGAGCTGTTTTCCACTAAACTGCTTGATGAATGAGGGCCAATTTCACACTGGCGTAAATGTCCTTCGTATCGTACGGATAAGGCAGAAATGATTAAATGTGAATATTGACCTGTTTTTTTACTGTTTTTACTGTGACATTCTTGTGGTCATTCTCTCCATAGCTGTAACTTTAATTTAAAGGTGAAAAATTCTTGCTTGTGCCAAATACACCAGTTCAGTGATGTTTTATCTAAATAACTTGAGCAAATCCCTGCATGGATTGACTTTGTGTGCATGAGACAACACACATAAAGTAAGTGCTTTTAGTACTTACCACATCCCCCAAACTGTGAATACATATATAAGTACGGTTGTTTTCTCAGATGTGTGTAATTGTTTGGTGAATACAGTAGAACGTCTTCCAGTGAAGTCGATTGAGTTGCACGGTTATAAGCCATCTTGTGGCAGCTTCAGGTACTAACGGTGTGTGTCAGGTACATTTTGATGGACTGCTGATTAGATAAAAAAAACTAAAGTGTGTTCTTACTGAATTTCTGATGTACGGCAATAATGTGAACACTCTGAAACCCTTTTTTTCAACACCTGAATGCTTCCTCTGAAGCCCAGTGACAATCACAGTGTGTCAATAAAAACTTCTTGTCTTTGCCGTGACAACAGTGAACAGAAACAGGGAAGAGTATCTTTATTTATGGTTTCATGTCAAAGTGCGGACTTCTTGATAAGGTGTCCGGTTTGACTCATGTCACGATGCTCCTCTTTAATGACGTGTAGGATGTTTACTGTATTTGCTCTGCCCGAATCAGCCTCTTGATGCCGCTCTTTCCCAGTGCATTCTTGGGGAGTTGGTCAAAGGTTTGTCCGTGCACGAACTGGCATCCCGCAGGATTGTGTAGAGTAAGATCCAGGAAGCCGGCAGTATCTGGAGAGTAAAGTCAAACACGTAGTGGTAATGTGAGTATCCTTTATTTTGTTAAGTGTCCAGAGAAGTTGTAAAGACCAACACGCAATCTGATATCAGACTGTAAAGTCCCCAACGAGCTGAACTGTGGAGCAGTTAATGAGTCAGATATTTCACCCACGAGGTGCTGGATGCCATAAAAAGCTGGAAGCAGAGTGAAACTTTATTCAGACGGAAGTATGATTTTAGTCTTTACATGTGCTGGTTGCTAACAGGTTTATGTTGCTAACAACATAGATGTTGATACGTTTTGTTCCCAGGTAATTTGTATTGCCTCCAAGTTTGTATATCAGAGTGAAATGTTATTCTGACAGAATTAAGATTTTAGTTTCTACATGTGATGGTTATACAGCATCAATAGAAATATGCTTGCTAACAGGATCAACATAGAAGTTGATTACAGCATTTGCAATTGCAGGTTTAAAACCTAATTCATTTGAATGATTGATGACGATTGGAGTAATTTGTTAAAGTCAGTTGTACCTGAGATAAAGCACTTTGCAGGTTATCATCCATGAATTATGTTTGTTCTTTTTTAAGTGGGGGTGAGAGACCTTAAAGGGGCCTGCAGATAATCCCTTTGTTGGGGATTGTTTTCAAAGGGGGTCTTGGTCTCTGCACCAAAAGATAACAGAGAACCAATAGCGCACGCCTCAGATCATATACATTATAATATATATAACAAAACTGCTATATATTAAAAAAAAAGTTCACCTGAAACGTAAGAGTTATACATTGTTGAATTTGTGATTGTCTCTCCAGGAATCTGCAGTTCTTCCTCTTGAGTCTTCTATTGGGTGTATGATGATAATGAAACAAGTTTTAGCCTATTCAGAGGCGCCATTGACATGGCGTCAATGTGTGTGTGTGTGTGTGTGTGTGTGTGTGTGTGTGTGTGTGTGTTTAAGAGAGAGAGAGAGAGTTACTTCAAATTGTTGGTTGTTGTAGTTTACAACAGCTGGCAGATCAGTTGATTTCCGTTGGATCTTCACCATGCCGGTGCTGGTAAAACTCAGACAGAGCTTTACGACATGTGTCTGAGTAGCTGCAGGCAAAGTAGTTCGGCCTTTTTGGAATGAAGCCTGGAAACGCAAGAAATGATGTAGAAAGGTCCGTTAATCCAAATGTCTCGTGGTCATTAAGAAGGTTTTGGTTTTAGTGACACAGTTTTTGAAACCAAATCTATCTAACTGAAATGAAAGAATGTAAATAATATGAAATAATGTGTGTCTACTCAAGGTAGACAAGGAATAAGAAACTTCTTCTTTAAAACGTTTCTACAAATATGGCTGATTGGTGTTTGTTAACTTGATTTTCAACACTGTCACTTAACTGATTGTTTATACTTAATTATTTAAAAGTTGGACACAGATTTTTCTCGTGTTCCCAAGGTCTCATGTCGTTGTGTGAAACCCATTTAAAAGCACATGTATCCTGCTATCCTGTATCTTCTTTGTGTTACATTGAAGGTCTGCCTGCGTGGAGGACCGGACCATCGGAGCGTTGCACATCAGCACTGGTCAGCAACTCGGCTGTGAGCCGGCCATAAGACTTCCCCGCTTTGTGCCTGAGCTGTGGGCAATTCCCTGTGTACATGCACACAAAGGGGTGGGCGGGTGCATCCATACTTTTTGGGATATTGGGAAAGATTATGTTTAATTGGCTGATTTATGGAAAACTAACTAGACAAATTTGAACGCATAGTAAACCAAAAAATATAATGAACAGGTCAACTAGCATTAGGACAGTAACAACAACAATAACTGTGAGCTCTGACTGAAAATCCCTCTGGCTTTGTGTTTCCAGGGTTGTGAAGGTTCCAGGGCAGAAAGGCGGGGCTTAGCCCCAAGGGGAGTGGCCTTTTTGCATATACATACCAACCAGAACACGCACATATGTCGCATGTTTGAGTTATAAATAACTCGTTCACATGAGAAACAATAGTTTTATTTAATGACATCACCTTGTGTTTTTTATGAGATGTTTATGTGATTTCTTATTTAAAGCCAATGATGCCAAATTATTTTTGGGGGGGATTGAAGAACATTTTAGGCCCCTAACGGCGCCCCTGACCAGGGCTCTTGCCACTGCCACATGGGGAATGTAGATCATATCTGCAGACAGGACGGTCGACTCTAGTTTTAAACTAGTAAATCTAGTGTTTTTTATATTACGAAAACAGCGTTTACAGTTTCAGCTTCAGAAACCATTAATGCCGTTCATCCACGAGACATGTTGACATGCCGTGTTACAAACTGCATGTTCCCACTCACCATGTAGGTTATACAAGTGCGTTTTGTTTCATGCTCAGGTTGTTGGAATCATTTTAATGGCAGTTGGGATTCTCTGTGTCTGAGTTTTAGATGACTGGAGTTTGTATCTGATATTTGTTTCTAACCTCTGTCTTCAAATGCACATAAACATCTATGACTTTGTCCCGCGGCTTGCACCGGGCCCCAAATGTGTCCCCGGATGTCTTACAGCTGTGTGGACAAATCCAACTTTTTCAAATAACAAATGAGTCACGTTTTCCGCGGTGACGGGAAGCAGCAGGTAGGAACACGCGGCAGAGGCCCGACAGGTGATGGGGGGAGGCGTGGTGAAGCCGCGGAGGCGGATCACGCTTCACCAGTTCCCCGCGGATAACCGCTGTCTTCAGTTCGGAGGTGTGAGGGGGGGGGGGTGGAGGATGAACGTGTACAGGAGCTTCGGGAACCTACTGGAGTCCTGGGTCGTCGACGGAAGCCGGTATTCGGACGCGGCGTGTCTGGGAAACAACGACGGGGACCCCGCGACGTCTTCCTCCGACGCGGGGACGAGCCTGCGCCCGGAATCGGTGGACTCTGGCGTGGAGACGGCCAGTCCCGTCACGTCCTTCCCGCCCACGCCGTCCTCCGCCTCCACGGATAACGCAGAAAGAGAAGCGTGCGGACTCACTCCCGCCTCGACGTCCCGGTCTCCCGCGCCTTCCTCCTCATCCTCCTCTTCCTCGCCGCTGCTCGGTGCCGCAGGAGCTACGCGCGTCTCAGTGGACGAGGTGCTGATGCGACGTCCGCGCGCGTCTTCCGGCCCCACGCGGCGCGCGCCGTGGGTAGCCAGGGGTCAAAGGTCGCGGAGTTTCGGCGCGAAGAGGTCGGCCAACGCACCTGAGCCCACGACGCAGACGCCACAGCTGCGCAGACGGCCGATGTCAGCGGGTTGCGACCTGCAGGCGGGTCAGGTGAGATCCTGTTCATGTCACACACCAAATACATGTGTTTGTTTGTTTGTTTGTTTGTTTTTTCATTTGAAAAACAGAGTAGTTTCAGCCTGACACGAGTTTCACGGGAGCAGGTGTGTCTTGATCAGGTACCACAGGTATGCATGGACGTTTGAAGGAGCGAGACACTGCTTCTCATTGTATTTCCGCTAAAGGGTTGCAACATAAATTCCCCTCGGCGTGCTTTGAAATGTAGAAGTAGGACGAGCATGTCATTACTCCTTCGTGCTCCAACCCGTCACACGTCCGTCTGCGGCCCACAAACCAGTCTGCCCAGGTGTCTTCACACCCACAGGCACGAGAGGAATGGACCGAGACAAACTCAATAGGCTGCCTGTGTGTTTTCTGTCGTAAACTTGGCAGACTGGTTGTTAACCAGATGCATGAAGCATGTAAAGCATTGGGTGGTTACATTTGCTAAAAGTTAGGAAGCTCAGTGTGAAGGTGAATTCATGTTGACAGGAAATTATTTTACCGTTTGTATCTAATTTGGTCCTCATTGTTATTACATTCCTAGGTGTGCGTGTGTGCGTAAGGGCCTGAGGGGAAATAATTTGGTGACACAAGGAAGACATAAAAAATGAAGACATAATTGTCCAATTACTTTTGCAACAATGCTTTCACTATTCTTTGGGAACGTTCATGCAAGAGTTGCAAAAGAAGCAATCATTGAGTCTGACTAAGAGATCCTGACTTAACCGGTCGACTGAGAAAGGGTTTCAAACTTCCAAGTTCATATTGTGATATTAAATACAAAACTTATTATTAATTAGATTAATTATATTATATTGTGAAATTAATGAATATATTTTCTCTGTTAATGTTCAAAGGAAAAGAAAAAGGTTCAATTGTAAGTGCTTAACGTTACATTAATTTGTAGCACAAACCATTCATTAAAACAATAATTGTAGACTTCATTTTAATTGATCAAGACAAAGGCTACAGTCTGTAGCTGCCTTTAGCTAAAATCATGATCCAATGTTTTACCATGTTGATCGTACCCATGCTAACAGTCGCTAACTTGCACAAAGCCACCCAAATCGTTTCAATTCATCCTGTGGGACGGATGAGCGTTTGGCTCATATTTCATGTCGATCCATCCGAAATTTCCCTCAAAACCACAAATATCGACCCAGCGGTGCCGCTGAAGTAAACGTCAGCGGAGCAGCAGAGTCACAACAATTCACGGTCACGGGCGCCATCGATGTATCCAGAGGAGGGCCTGTGCATGTGTTGGATGCATCGGTCTGAAACAACGTTCACGTTGACCAAACATACATATTGTTACATTATTGTATCCTTGCTGAATGATCCGTGCAGGACCTCGGTGAGCGGGACAGAGCACTGCTCAGCCCCGGCCTCCGCTACTTGGAGCAGGTGTGCCAAATGTTAGAAGAATTTGCCAGACAACAGATGGGCAGCCGAGCGTTGCAGATGGAGACGAATGCCCTACGGGAAGATCAAAACACAGAGGTGGACCAGGTGAAGACTTTCATTTAGGCCATCTTTTGCAAGGCAATTCATTAGTGACAGTTTCCGAATTCCACAAACCCCATCTTGTCAAACTTGTTACGACATACCAAACCTTGCTGACGATGGTTTCCGCCTACGCTCGGCCTCCCTTTCAGGCTCCCGCCACTTGTCAGAGGGACTGCAAAGCTGCCGAGGAGGAGCTCTCTTTTTGTCTCAAAAACAACACAAAACGTGCAGAGCACAGCGAAGCCCAGCCCGGGCGAAATCATCCCCACAGCCATTTCCGGCAGAGGTCTGCTTCTGACACAACTCTCTCAACACTTCATAGAAGTGAGTCTGAGTCCACCTACCGCTTTCGATTTTCACCTTTTGCGATATTGTACAATTCAATATATTCTCATTGTGTGTACTGCATCCATGTTATTGTGTGTGTGTGTGTGTGTGTGTTATTGATGCAGGAAGGCTAAATGCAGACTGCAGAGGGCAGCATCTGAGTATAGATGACCTGCTCGAAATGGATGAGGAAGAGCATGAAAATCTGGTAAAAATACGCTTAAATAACACAGAATATTTGTGTGTAAGTGAAAAACACCACTAAAGAATGAGCACATTATGTATTTGACATCACGTTTTAGTGAGTTTTATGAGAAATGTGTTATTTTTCTAATATTCTCTTGTTTTTGTGCAATTTCAGGGCTCTGAAAAAGAAGAGACTAATAAAAAAAGGCCCTGGAAATTAAAATTTAGGTCTCTCAAAAAAGCGGAGTCGGCAGTGACGGATACAAATAGGTGAGCCATTGCATTTTCTCCCCTCAGCTACATCGTCATACGATGCACGATGCTCTAAGGGAAACGTTTGTGCTGCTCGCTCACGGCATCGGGCCACACTGACGCAGACGATGGAGAAGCTTTTGGTCCGGAGTTCATTTTCAGCCGGTGCTTCTGCTCCTCCTGAACAATTTGTCCCTTTCCCCCCCATGCGAGACTTAGCCCACACGCTGGCTGAGTTTGAACTGTGTTTAATGAATTTTTCATTCGCACAGCCAAAAGATGCAGTCAGCCGAGAGAAACTCGGCCCGACGACGACTGAGCCAGATGTTCAGGAGGAAGAAGACTCTGCCTGTGTAAAGGGGCCATGATGTTTTGGACATGTTGGTTTCAGTTATAAAGAGGAAGAAGCTTTTCTGCTGTGTTTATTTATTTTCTGATGCTTTCCCTGACTTTTTATACCAAAATAATTACATTTTTCTATAAACCGAAAGAGGGAACTCTGTAATAAGCTTATTATTGTTAAATATGTATGTGTACTGTACAGTCCAATACGCTTGCCATATTAAATAATGTGAATATTTCCGTTTGAAGTTCTTATGCATTTAGTTATATATATATAACTTATAAAAATAAGTACTTATACTTATTATTTAAACAAACACAGGACCGTACAAAAGGACACGCATGACTGTGACACATATGCTTTCACATATGCTGACACAACAGCGTATTCATTATAGAGACTATAATGAATGAATGAAACAATGCCTGAAAAAAGTTTCCAGAGGTCTGCATTTGCCTTGAAAAGCCAAATACAACTTTACAGTGACATAATTGTAGATCTGGCTGAGGAACTGGATCAGGTGTACGTTGCATATTTTTCTCAAATAAATTACTTTCATACATTTTCAATTATGATGAATTTCAAGTTGATTGACCAATAAAGTAATCAACTTGAGTAGTTTAATGTATAAATTCATGGTTTATATTGGGGGATTTAAAAATATGAATTGAGGGATTTGTAGGTGGTGAAATACAAAACACCATGAAAAACACACATTTTTATCTGAAAAGAAAGAAAAAATAAAAAAAGACAAAATTAACAGTTCGCCATTGAATGGCAAATGATAGAATGTAAATTAAGGGAGAGTTTTCATGTTTAGAGCATTTGTAGGTTTTAGTTTCTAAAAAAAAAACATGAATCCCTTTAAACAGAAACACCATTAGAAAATACCACTCCATTAACTACCCCCTTAAGTAAAGGCAAATAAGCAATGGATCTATCTCCATAGTACAATAATCCTGAATCATTTCTGTAGCTTGACAGATCACAAGTGCAGGCCACACAGTTACTTTTATCATTTATTTACTTTATTCACCTAGGTTGGGGGGGACAGACCTCCCCTGGCATTCCCATGTAAAGAGATGTCAATGACAAACACGTCCAACCAAACGAGAGAGGGTGAATAGGATTCCAGTCCATACATAAAATACATATATTTACTATTTATTGAACCATCGGCATCCATTAGTCCCACATAGCATCCATCTGCGCTATTAAATATATAGAGATAACATCTGTGGAGGGATTTATTTACTGTGTGTGTGATGAGAGGGGGTTGGCAGAAAGGGTAGAGCTTATAGAGGAAAAGAGTGATGATGGTGGTGGTCTGTGTGAGTTCGGGGGGGGGGGCGTGCAGCGTCCAGTTATGCCCGCCATTGTCCCCTACATGATGCCACAGGAGGACAACGGGTTGGCGATCTGGCAGGTGCAGGCTGACTGGCAGTATTGGCGCACAGTCTGGTAGCAGCTGCGGTCGGCCTCGCCGCCCCACTGCACGGGCCCGTTGGGGTCAGAGGGCAGGCGGCTCAGGATGCTGGTGTTGATGGCCAGGGCAGCCAGGCCATAGTCAGTGAACAGCACCGTCTCGCGCCTGCAGGTGGGACAGGAGATGAACTTGTACTTGGGACAGGACTCGTAGAGGATCTGCAGGCACTCCTCGCACACCGAGTGCAGGCAGGAGAGGATGCGCGGACGCTTGCCCGCAAAGTTGTAGGTGTGACCGCAGGTGGGGCAGTCCAGCGGCTCGCAGGGCATGACGGGCCCCGTGGAGGACGCGGAGGACGAGGTGGAGGACGAGGTGGAGGAGGAGCGCAGCACGTACTGGTTGACGATGACGTCGTCCATCTTGTAGTGGAACTGGTGGTAGCAGATGTCGTTGGCACTGGTTTTGCGCTGCGCCAGGAAGCTCTGCTCCCTACGCGTCAAGGGAGGGGCCGACGGGGACGCCATCTGCCGGGGGGAGCCCGTGATCTCCAGGGCCAGGTCGCTGCAGGCCTGGTTGACGATGATTTCGCCTTCGCCTCCGCCGTCCCACGCCACCCTGGGGGGTGGTGCATAGCGGGGCTGGGTGACGGGAACGGGGCACTCTCGGGGGAACTTCTCCGACTGGATGATCTTGACGGTGTCCATCGGGATGCCGACAGGCTGGCGCCTGAGACAGGACATCCGCACGTTGTCTACAGGTGGAAGGGAGAGAGGGGCTGTGGCTCTGATCGGCGCTGGTCGCCGCCGCCGCCTGGTTCTGGGGGAAGATTAGGCTCGGTCTCCGGAGTCAGCCATTCGAGGGAACGTGGGGACGGATGGTTGCCTCCATGTTGTCCTCAGAGATCTCCCGCCCCACGCTGGGTGTAAGCTACTATCAGCCTGTGTCTTTATGAAGGGAAGACAGATAAAAGAGCGCTGCCGGAGCAACGCAATCTGCTCCCCGTGGATGTGATGAGTTAACAGTCCAGCTTACAGTGTCTGACCAGTGTTGCCTACTTAAAGGTGTTGTTTTTGTTGCTGATGTTGTCTCAGATTGCTATTTGCAGTTTATTCACATACAAGGACAGGTGGTACTTTAGCACAAAGATATCTTCTCACTCAGTGATGACACCAATAAATAATCTCATAAGCACACGGACGCTCACATATATAAATACAGAACAGGTTGTAGAATTCCAGCGTTCACACTATGGGGAGAGGTGGGGGGGAGTTCAGGCAGTCCGGAAAGGTCCAAAAGATGTTGTCTTAAACTATATCCTGTGGCCTGCAAAGGAAACTCTAGTCTTGTCAAAGTACCCTTTACACATGGTTCTCACTTAGCTTAACTTCCTGTTTCTGGCTGAGGGAGTGCTTCACATTGACTCGAGTGCGTGAGAAAGAAAGAAAAAACCTCCAGTCTTTCTCTCCGCTCTTGGTCCAGTTTGGTCAGGTGACCCCGCGTGACCCTCTCAGCGGCTTATTGATAACAAACAAAAGTTGTCCCACAATACCCTAGACGGCTGATAGAACGGCTCTTCAAGCTCCAAGGCTCCTGAATTCCTCAGAGGTGGGAGTGAAGGGTTAAACTTTCAGACGTCCTCCCAAGTGAGCAGGAGAGCTGATAACAGTCTGAGGGACGTCTCCGCGCTTGTCTCCCCTTGTCAGTAACTCAGACTCATACCGTGTCCTCGGGTCTCCTTTGGTCCGTCTACCTGTGAAAACAGTAGAAATTTATGAGCGGCATTAATTTGTGCTCTTTAAAATGTATCACGGAATATTAAAAAGAAAAGATTGGGGGGAGTGGGCCATCTTTTCAAGAATACATTTTAGATTGTAGTATTCTTAGAAAGTGTACGCTACTTTAATTCTTTTCTACTTTCACTTTCTTTGTTTGATTGGATTTTATTTCATAACTCAGAAAGATTCTACTGTAATTATATGGAGATGGCTTTGTAGTTAACTTGATGACACACACTTTTAAATTGGCACCTTGCACTCGGCCCAGCTGTGTTTCTTAAGGGTGAGAAAATTATCATGCCGCCTAAGCACAATCGGTGAGCTACAAAGTCAGAATATTGTGTTGATGTGGGGCGCTTGGGCGTTAGAATCACAAACGCGGCACATCGACTGTGCATTTTAAATTAGCCAATTTCCATTAGCCAATTTCCATTAGCCAATTTTTCACATGTTTCTGTGCCTAATCACAAAAACCTTTATGTGAATGAGAACTGTTCCGGGCAGTAATAACGGATACACAACGCTGCAGACGCAAACAGTGAATGCAACCGACAGGTAATTAAACAAAACAAAGCCTGACGTGCTGTCCGATCGGAGCGGGTCATTGCGACACATGTTGCGGCGGCACCGCTTTTGTCACGCTTCCTGCTTCTCGGCAGCCCTGTCACGTCTGAGTTGCGTCAGGGAGACAGCGTGAAACTGCTTGCACCCTCGCCATGCACAGCCTGTGTCACACTGTGTGGGGTTTTGTGAAAAGAAAAGAAAAAAGAAAATGTACGGATGATTTTTTTTTTTTTTAGCTCAACCAAAACAATAGCTGCCAACCAGGAGAGGCGGGAGGATGACACGTCTTTCACTCTTTTCACTGGATGCAACAGTGACGATTCGTTAGAGAGAGGAGGTGACCTACATGGCGAAGATGCGAGAGAGAGAGACAGAAAGGAAAAGGGGGAGACAGAGCCGTGTGCTGGTGCATGTTTCTATTTATGGGTTGTTTATCTATGCACATCTTAGTGGTTTGCTGCCCTCGACCCCTGCTGAAGATTCACACCGAAGGAGAGCGAGAGATGTACCCAACAGGCAGAAGGCCCTTTGCGAGCAGGCAGACATTTGCTTCTCCTCCCCGGTCGTGGACGCTGTGACGTATTTGTAAAACCCCACACTCAACAAACACAGAGCTGTTGGACATAATCCCAGGAAATCTCACCGAACGTGCTTCGGCACCTCCTGAAATAGCCGTTTCTTTTTAGTCCTGTTTAACACACAGTATTCATTCGCACACGCTTGATAAAGACAGGGATGTGCTTCAGCGGCAATGTCGATTTTTATGCAAGAAATAGATATGGAGACAATATGAATAAGAATTTAAAAAAATAAGAAATATAAAACTGAATGAAAATAGCTCGCAAAATACACAAAATATTGTTTTTTTTAAATCACTATATGGCAATTTTCTGTGACAAAATGTGTGTTTTTGTTTGAATTTGGCTGCACCTGATACTATACAAAGCTGCCTATATGATACATCTGCTGATATAAGTATATTAGTATGTACGAGCCATAATAACACAATATGAAAAAAACAATGACAGACGTAATTTATATATATTTCCCTTACATGCCCATACATCATCTACAGACTACAACAAAACCTAAGGGATCCAAAAGTCTTTTATTACAAAAAATTATTTAGCATGTTGTTTTATTGACTAATCCCCTCCTCTAATGGCAGATATTAAAGGTCTAGACACACTGTGGGGACATAAACTGCCTGTGAGAGAACGTGTCTGCCTCGTAGCGTTAAGGGGTCGGGTTGATGAAGCATTCCGGCTGCGAGAGGAGCCTTTGAGCCTGGGGGGGGGTGGCGGGGGGGGTGAAGCAGCTAAAATTACCCTCTAATTTGGTGACAGCGCTATGAAAAGGGCCGATAAGTGAAGCCGCCCGCCTGATGATGGCCCAGCTTTGGCGCGGCCTCTTCCTCAATCCACGGGGCCCTCTGCGGTTATATAAGGAGCTCATCTCTTACCCAGTCACCATA